TCCATTGTCATGCAATTCCGTGTGCCTCAAGTTGCATCTGAAATCACACTAATGTGAACAGTCTTAAAGTGGGAAAATGTTTCCTTCCCTACAATTGGAAAGTTCTTACAACAGACGCAAGTCTGTCAGGCATTGGAGGATTCTTCCAATCCTTGACAGTTCAGGGAACATGGTCAAGATAGAAAACCAAATTCTCCATCAACATCTTGGAGCTCAGAGCAGTCGAGTGTCCCTCCAGAACTGGACCCCCTTCTAAAAGGGACTCCCAATTCGAATGCAGTCAGACATTGCTACTACATTCCACTACAGTGGTATACATCAAACATCAAGAGGTCATGAGTAGTTTGGCTGAATAAAGGAAGCAAACCAGATTCTCTCATGAACAGGAACTCGCTGCCCAACAATTTCAAGAGTGGACCGCTGACATGCTGATTATCTCATCCTCCATCACTTGGACCAAAGGTAATGGTCTCTTCATCCAGATGTGTTTAATCTGATATGCCAAAAATGGGAAACTCCAGATGTGGACAACTCAGATTCCATATACAACAAACTACCTATGTTTGTGGCCAGAAACAGGGAACTTCTAACTCTGGCCTTGGATGGTTCAATTATCCTCTAGTCTCAATTCAGGATGATATATACCTTCTCTCCACTGAGAATTCTCTCTCCCTGCTCTACAAAATAGAGCAAGAGAGGGAAATGGTGATTCTTGCACTGAACCTGGAACCCAAACATACGCAGATTCAGACTAGCAGATAATCCCTGGCCTCTTCCCAACAGGCCAAATCTGCTATCTCAAGGTCCTGAGCATGTGCAGCTTTCCCGCAAGGCTTTGTTCTATCAGCAGATGGATTGGGGACAGTAGAAGAAGGGGAGGATCAGAGAAGACAATATCAAACATCCTTTTTACTAAACCCTTAGGTTCCACAGTAAGTATAACAAGCATTTACTGCATATACAGACTGATTTTACTGTTGTGGATTTAGTAACACTTTAATAGTGTGGCTGTTGAAACTCGGGCCTTTAAAAAGAGAGGTATTTCTGAGTCTATGACTTCTACCTTCCTGAAAGAAAGAAAAAGGGCACTTCCAGGAAGATCTATTATACCTGGAAATCTTACTTTACTTGGAGTGAGCACAGTCAATTCAGTCCCAGAGATTATTCTGTGCCTCGCAATCCAGCCTTTCTGCAAACAGGTTTTGACCAGAGTCTAGCTCTTAGCACCCTAAAGGGGCAGTTATCTGTCTTATCCATCCTTTTTCAAAGGCCTTTGGTCTCGCACTCTATTGTGTACATTTTTAACCATTTCAATACCGGGCACTTTTACCCCCTTCCTGCCCAGACCAATTGTCAGCTTTCAGTGTTGACGCACTTTGAATGAAAATTGTGCGGTCATGCAACACTGTACCCATAAAAATTTTTAGCATTTTTTTCACACAAATAGAGCTTTCTTTTGGTGGTATTTAAAGTGTTACTACACCCAGGACCCTGCATCCACTATATCCGGTCTCCCACAGTACACAGAACATGGAAATGCAATTATTTTAGTAAATATAAACTGCTAAATACCTTTTTCTCATCAGCAGTTAGAGCAGTCTTGTGACTATCAATAGTTCGGCCCAGCACTAGCTAAAACTTGTAGGAGGAGTTTTTTTTTCTGCTCTAGGAGTATGCAAAACCCCTGACCTCTGTCTGGACAGTGCTGATTGGCCCAGTGCTGATCACATGCATTCTCCCAAAAAAAAGCATGTACAAAATGTCCTGTCCTGTGGACAAAGCCAGTGACAGATGCGCCACTATTCGGCTATGTGAGCAGCACCTTCTGACAGGACGTCATATGATGCTCACTTAGAAGTTATTAATTAACCACTTGCTTACTGGGCACTTTCACCCCCTTCCTGCCCATGACAATTTTCAGCTTTCACCCCCTTCCTGCCCATGACAATTTTCAGCTTTGAGTGCTGTCGCATTTTGTCTGACAATTGCATGGTCATGCAACACTGTATCCAAATGAACTTTTTATCATTTTTTTTAAACAGATAGAGCTTTCTTTTGATCTTATTTAATCACCACTGTTTTTTCTCCTGTAAAAGTTTGCAAATAAGTAATTTTGCTTCTTCACTAATGTGTGCTGATGAGGGTGCACTCATGGGCACTGATAGGCTACACTGAAGGGCACTGATATGCTGCACTGATGGACACTGATGGGGCTACACTGAAGGGCACTGATATGCTGCACTGATGGGGCTACACTAATGGACACTGATAAGCTGCACTGATGGACACTGATGGAGCTGCGCTGATGGGCAGTACAGTGGCTAAATGGTTAGCACTTCTGCCTGGCAGTACTAGGGTCATTGGTTCGAATCCCAGCCAGGGCACCACCTGCCTGGAGTTTGCATGTTCTCCCTGTGACTGAGTGGGTTTCCTCCGGGTACTCCGGTTTCCTCCCACACTCCAAAGACATGCTGGTAGGTTAATTGGCTCCTGTCTAAAATTGTCCCTAGTATGTGTATGTATGAATGAGTTAGGGACTTTAGATTGTACGCCCCTTGAGGGTTAGGGACTGATGTGAATGTACAATATATATGTAAAGCACTGCGTAAATTGATGGCGCTATATAAGTACCTGAAATAAATAAACAATGATAAGTGCCCTGATTATCAGTGTAAATGTCCCCTGTCACAGGAAAGCCGGTTATCGGATTTCCTTTCCTCACGCTGTGACAGCGCTGAGAAAAGGAAATGCTGATGACCAGCATTTGTTTACATGTGATCAGCTGTGATTGCACACTGCTGATCACTTGGTAAAGAGCCAACATCATTGGCTCTTTACCCTTATTGGTGATGCACTGTGTCCAAAGAGCACAGCACACCACCCCGTCACCACGCTGTATGCACCTGGGGGTGCCCATGCGCAGCAAGAATGGGAGGATGTCATATGATGTCCTCCCAGAACAAGAGTGGTCTCACCCAGCTGTCATTGTGGCTCTGAGGAAGAGGCAAAGTCCTCAAAACGCGTCAGCATTTTGGATGTCTAAACTCCCTATTGCGGACTGTTACTCAGCGCGGTGTTGACCCAGCTGTTCTTTATGATGTGCCTTGACTATATTGTCATTTGTGAGTACAACACCTACTTTATTTTTTATTAAACATTTTTTATGGTAATGCACTAGGCCTGTGCGCCCTCTGTTTTGTCTTTCGTCATTGTACAATAGGCGGGCGGGAACCAGTTAAAGTATTTCTTGTGTTAAGATTCCCCTACAGCACCCCGTGCTTCCCTTTTGATATAAATTTGGTTCTCTCTGAACCTGCAGAAACCACCCTATGAACCCATCAGGGATATTCCTTTAGAGATTCTTGCGAGCAAAGTAGCCTTCTTAGTAGTCATCACATCTATCAGATGTGGCTCTGAATTTCTATATAGAACCTTTCCTTATACTTCACAAGGACAAGGTTGTATTACACCCAAGACAATCCTTTCATCCAAAAGTTGTTTCAGCATTCTATCTCAATGAGGACATTATTCAACCATCCTTGTGCCCTGCTTCTAAGCATCCAAATCATAATGAGCATTTTCCTCCTGCAGCTGCTGAATGCCAGTGGAAGGGAGAGGAGGAGAAACCGTCTTTCAATGGTTGCAAGAGGAAAATGGAGAGGATCAGTTCCTGTATATGCCCCTCTTGTCCAAGTGTAAAACAAAATGTGACAGGATGGCCACATAGGCCCCCTGGAGCATGGGATGGTGTTGCCATTGTGCTACTAAAGTGTTTGAATATGTAAAAGAAGCCTTACTGTCTTGAGCCCCCTAAAAAGGCTGCTTTCACACTCATGTGCTAATGTTTACCGACACCATGGGTGCAGCACAGTGCACCTGCGGTTTTCCTGTGGGTTAGCTGCACTTTGCCATAAACTTCTATTATATTTTGCGGGCGTGGTGCACTTCCTGAAAGCGCACCAATACTTCTGCATTCAGGAGTTTTGGTGCGCTTTCAGCTTGTGCACCAAAACTGCAGGATATAATAGGAATCTGTGGCTCAGTTCAGCTAACCCGCAGTAAAGTCACAGGTGCAGTGTGATGCATCCACAGATCAGTGTGAAATGCCCCTGTACCTCTGTGTCTGTGTGTGAAGAAGGAGAGCGAGTAGCTCTGGCTGCAGGTGAGCACAGCGCTGGATTGATAGGATAAGTATATAGGGAGGTGAGGGGGCTAAACACTTGCTGATACATTTTTTTTACCTAAATACAGGTAATGCATTGAAGGTAAAAAATGTCTTTCCTTTGGAACCTTTTTAAGGTGTTCTATGGTAACAGCATAGAACTTCATTTTGTTACATCAGCATTGTAATAGCAATACAATCAATAGCTATTTTTAACAATCCCTTTTGTATTGTGAGTTCTGCCTGTCTGCAGACCATCTCTTCCCACAACATCTTGAATTCCCTGCATGCTTTGCAGCTTCTCCTTTGCTTTTTTTCCCCTTGATTCCTAAGGACGATATATCCCATAGTACCTTTCTGCCTGCAAGCAGTGTTTTCTGTACTGACTCTGCCTCTTGAAACACCTCCCCCAAAACAACTCTGTTGTTCAGAAGGCAGGCTCTGTGAAATGTGTGACACGGTAGTGCCTAATCACAGGCCATAGTGAATATGTGTTACAGAATTCAAGTTAGTAAATTTGTGGAGATCTCCACAAAGTAAGTTTATAAACTTCAAGATCATTCAGATTAATAGAAGTAGGTTGCAGATAATTGAAATATGACGTGGAAATTAATATACAGTATGATTTTACATTTTTACCAATGACAAAGAAATTGATGAATAAATAGTCACATAATAGAAATGTAAAATTTGCTCTGGTCCATAGGGGGGATACAGTTGTGAGAGTAGAAGGGGTTAACAACATCCATCATCACAAACCATGTATTTCTTTGTCAGAAAACAACACAGTGTAAGCTTTATTTTCCGTTCAAATTCACCTTTGCTCTGTCTTCCTTAGTGATAATCCCATGGCGGATATTTACGGCGCCAACCTCTACAATCGCCACCTACAGACACAGCGATCAGAAGCTTCATCAGGCCGTCCACAGAACTGTGAGTCCATACTGGTGTGCACTGGTGTTTATGGAAATCAGAAGGAGGTGCCAGCAGACCCAAGAGAGAGCATCACAGAGACCATTTTCCACGGGCATCGTGATTTCCAGCTGGAGCCTGGACTGGTGGAGGCATGCCATGTGGTGCAGGATGTTGGGCAGGCTGTGGAGCTGGTGCTGAAGAAGGAGAGCTGGATCCCTGAATGAATCTGAAAGGGGCGATGACACCAGTCCCTGTGTCACAAATTGAGGGAACCTGGAAATATTTTCCGCATAAGCCTAGATGCTGCGGATGGGGAGGTCTCATTATGAACTGCAAGGAAATCTATTGGCCAGGATGTCATGCAAAAAGATCACTAACTGGTTAACAACACCTTTATTCTACGATAGACTGAAGTGGTTTGTGTTTCTCCTGTGGAAGGTGTGCACCATACATCACGCTTTATCAGTGTGTCAGTTTCTTTGCCATCCATTAAGAGACACAAGAAGTCTTCACCTTCAAGTTATACCACCGCCTACAAAGAAGACTTCTTGTGTTCCTCAATGGACTCAAAGAAGAATGTTACGGTGAATATAAAAATCCTATTGTCCACTTAATTAAAAACGAGGTCTATATGTACTCGCATGAAACCGGTTCTTATGGGGGCACCAACACAAACCGCTCACTAGGAGGATCCTATCCCTCCCATTGCCACTCATAACCACAAAGCTGGCATGCATTCCAAGAGACCAGATGCGACAGGACCGGATGTGAAGGCAGCAGCTCAGCCTCAATGCATTTCACGCACCATGTTTGTGTTGATCCCCCATAGGCACTCCACCCAGCTCATTTTACTGATGCCTTTCGCCCCCTACTGGGCCTTAATTATAAATATCCATAGAACCCCAATAGGGTGCAAAACTCAGCAGAGGAGCTGGGTGGAGTGTCCTCAGTGCTGGAACAATAAACTAATGGTGTGCAGCTTCCTATAATGGTGTGCACTGTAAATCTGAAGTGCTATTGTGCCATTGCTCAATGCATTGGTATCGGATAGTTTTAACTTTTCTCATTGAAGGTTTAATGCCCACACTCCTGTTTTTTGTGCTGAATCAGCCCACTTCCCCATCCTCCAATCCCATGGCCAGGAATAAATCCTGCCACACAAAGCCACTCTTTCTGTGCCTTATCCCAATATTACTATGCACTGTAAAAAGATAAACGGCAGTTTTATTACATCGTAAAGAGATGTAAATTCAGGGATATTGAGATTTATTTGAATTCAAATTTTAATGATTTTTATCATGTTTATTGTTTTGCTCTAGTGAATTTAGATTGTTAGGGTTAGTCATTTCTTATTACATTCTATTTACATTTTTATCTTTGAATCTTTGTTTATTGCAATTTTAGAGACTAAACGGAAGAACAAAAACAAGGTACAGCTTTATTATATCATGCAATAAGGCATCTTATGGGGTATGAGACATAAACCAAACACAGCCAAAACTGATAACCCCTGTGTTCAAAGCCAGCTCCGTAAAGACCAGTGTGGTTTGGGGGAACTCAAGTGGCCTGCACAGGGCTCTGAACTCAACCATACTGAACACTTTTTGGGTGAATTGGAATGCTGATTGTGAGCCAGAACTTCTCAGCCAACATCAGTACCTGAACTTCTAAATGAGTACAAATTCCCACAGACACACTCCCAAAATTTTGTGAAAATCTTTCCCAGAAGTGTGGAGAATTTTATAGCTGCAAAGTGGACAGACTCACTATTAATGCCCATTGTTTTGGAACGGGATGTGTGACATGGTCATATAGTGATGATCAGGTGTCTACATACTTTTAATAGTGTAGTGTGTCTTTCACAAGAGTGTGTGGGTGGTGCAGAGGAATAGGTCTATCCCTTTGCACACCTCACTGTACATCCACATGTGGCACTCAGCAATTGCAGGCATATATTCATTTTGAATGGTATCTCAATGCACTAAAGAAACGCACCTCCTACATACTCACTACTGTGCGTGCACTGCATTGGCAAATGGTTGCCACACACTGCACTGATGATGGCCAAAAAACAGCTGTATAGTTTATATTGTTAGCCTATATTTGCACTATATAACAGTGAATCTGGATGTGCATTGGGGACATATAGTACTGGTTTGCATGACTGTGCCCCTTGTCCTGAAATGAGGAATAATGCTCTTATTTTTGGGACAGGTGAATACCTTATGTACTAAGAAGGTTTAGTGTGCTATCTCTTCCAGCTTTGTTGCAGACTGTGCTCCTCTGCTGTCTTTTCTTCATTCAGGACATGCTCCCTGCTTGACATTTCCTAAATATTTACAAATTGAAGAGTCACACCTCTTTTATGCCATTAAATAGAAGAGGTGTGAGGTGGGGTGATTGTCTAAATTTGACTGTGACCATCATGAATGTATTTCTGGGGAGGATTTTTTGTGTTGATTTTACTTGACAATAAATTTTTATTGAGATCAATAATTGCTTTATGTGTGGTCTCCACTTAAAGTTCAGAGTGGTTTTATTATAGAGTAGGTCTACTTTTGGCGTGGAACAAGCAATAAAAGCATAATTTACAATGTCATAAATACATCTGGAACTTTCATACCTATGCAAGTGCATTACAACATTGAAACTCGATGTTTGTTGATGTACATTGCTATACATGCATTTCTGCATTTGCTTGTCCATTACATACCGTGAAGGAAATAAGTATTTGATCCCCTGCTGATTTAGAATTTTTGCCCACTCACAAAGAAATGATCAGTCTAAAAATCGAATGGTAGGTGTATTGTAACACTGAGAGACAGAATAGCAACAAAAAATTCAAAAGAAATGCATGTCTAACAAATCATGCACTGATTTGCATGTTCATGAGGGAAATAAGTATTTGATCGCCTTCACAAAACATGACTTAGTACTTGGTGGCAAATTCCTTGTTCGCAATCACAGAGGTTTGACGTTTCCTGTAGTTGGCCACTAGGTTTGCACACATCTCAGGAGGGATTTTGGCCCACGCCTCTTGGCAGATCCTCTCCAAATCATTAAGGTTTGGTGGCTGACATTTGTCAACTCGAACTTTCAGCTCCCTCCACAGATTTTCAATCAGATTAAGGTCTGGAGACTGGCTAGGCCACTCCAGGACCTTATGTGCTTCTTCTTGAGCCACTCCTTTGTTGCCTTGGCCGTGTGTTTTGGGTCATTGTCATGCTGGAACACCCATCCATGACCCATTTTCAATGCCCTGGCTGAGGGAAGAAGGTTCTCACACAAGATTTGATGGTACATTGCCCCGTCCATCGTCCCTTTTGATGCGGTGCATTTGTCCTGTCCCCTTAGCAGAAAAACACCCCAAAAGCAGAATGTTTCCACCACCATGTTTGACAGTTGGGATGGTGTTCTTGGGGTCATAGGCAGCATTCTTCCTCCTCCAAACACGGCGAGTTGAGTTGATGCCAAAGAGCCTGATTTTGGTCTCATCTGACCACAACACTTTCAACCAGTCCTCCGCTGCATCATTCAGATGTTTAGTGGCAAACTTCAGACGGGCCTGGACATGTGCTTTCTTGCGGGCACTGCAGGATTTCAATCCTTGTCGGCGTAGTGTTTTACCAATTGTTTTCTTGGTGACTGTGGTCCCAGCTGCCTGGAGATCATTGACAAGATCCTCACGTGTAGTTCTGGGATGATTCCTCACTGTTCTCATGATCATTGACACTCCACGAGGTGAGATCTTGCATGGTGCACCAGACCTAGGGAGACTGACAGTTGTTTTGTGTTTCTTCCATTTGCGAATGATTGCACCAACTGTTGTCACCTTCTCACCAAGCTGCTTGGTAATAGTTTGGTAGCCCAGTCCAGCCCTGTGTAGGTCTACAATCTTGTCCCTGACATCCTTGGACAGCTCTTTGGTCTTTGCCATGACGGAGAGTTTGGAATTTGATTGTCTGATTGCTTCTGTGGACAGGTGTCTATTATACAGGTGACAAAATGAGATTAGCAGTACTCCCTTTAAGAGACTGCTTCTAATCTCAGCTTGTTACCTGTATGAAAGACACTTGGTAGCCAGAAATCCTGCTGAATGATAGGGGATCAAATACTTATTTCCCTCATGAACATACAAATCAGTGCATAATTTGTTAGACATGAATTTCTTTTGAATTTTTTGTTGCTATTCTGTCTCTCAGTGTTACAGTACACCTACCATTTCGATTTTTAGACTGATCATTTTTTTTGTGAGTGGGCAAGCATTCACAATCAGCAGGGGATTCAATACTTATTTCCTTCACTGTAGATGCTCAGTGCATTGCCAGATAAGTGGACATGACTCCTCTTTTTCCCACCACAGGTGTCTATTAGTGTGATGTGATGACGATCATGTGCATTTTTAGCTGTGTTGATGCGAGTTGAGAGGCTATTAAAAAAGAATGGACACACCATCAAATGCACTCACAGCACAAGCAACCAACATACACCATCACACATTGGGGCAATAATGCATGCATAAGTTTAAATCCACCCTTAAAGTTGAAGTAAACCCAATAATCAAAATCTCATTAAAATAATGCCTAATGATCCTGTCATTATAGTTTTTGTTCAGGCACTTCCTGTTATAGGGTGACAAGTGTCCTGGTCAGAGTGGCTGTTTCAACACACATTACACAGGCATGGTCCACCCTTAAAAATTCCATGCAGCAATCGCTGGACTGCATGCAGGAAAATGTGTATGCCACAACGCACAGAGCAAACTGAAAGCCATTCAGTTAGGGTCCATTTACATTTTTGCAGTGCGTTAACGTCGTTTTGTTAATAAGCATTATGTTAAGACAGCCCATTGAAATAAATGGGCTGACAATAAAACACAGCATCCTAAATGTTGTATGTGCCACAAATTCTATAATTCCCCTATGGTGAGTGCATAGCCTGGGGTGCAATTCAAATAAATGGCACCATAACATGTACGTTACCACAAGGCAACAGTGTAAATGAGCCCTGAGGATTTACATCTAATTTAACTTTTGCTTAAAGAAAAACATTTTGCACAAGTGATTAAAAAAATGATATAACAATATAAACTTTGAAAACAATAAAATAATTGAAAACCACAGATGTTTCCCTTAACCCCTTCATGCCTAAGGGTAAAACAAATCTTAAAGCCTAAGTAAAATTTTACAACTTTGACATGTGTTAGTAAAACTGTACATATCACAACTACTTTGTACATTCAGGTGGATTATACCTTGTTTTTTTCAGGACAAATTGGGCTTTTATTTGGTGGTGAATGGTAATGGATATCTCTTGATTTTGTTTTTATTATCAAAGGAAAACTGGCCCAAAATAGCAAAAAAAAATTTTTTTTTTTTTCAAATGTAGCTGTGTTTCTTGTTACTACCATAACCTACCACCAAAGAACAACCCAAAATAAATTTTACAGCTCTTGACAATCGCAGCGACACCATATATGTGCATGTTATTTGTTGTTTGTACCTGTACTACAGCCCAGAAACAATAGTGCGCATTTTGTTTTACCTTAAACACACTGATATCAATAAAAAGAAAAAAAATCCTGACCTTGACCCAAACAGTAACCCTGGCACTGAACTAGATCAAACCTTGATCTAGGTATTTTTTATTTTATGTTTTAATATTTATTTATCTTTTTTGTCTTACAAACAGTTGTTTTTTTTTTCTCTCTGCAAGAAGAGATAGCGGTACAATGTATCTCTCTCCTTCATTCAGAGAATACAAAAACCAACGGGGGTGGGCTTCACCATGACTGATCACTGTGATAGCCAATCAGAGGCTATCGCAGCGACCATATGACCAGGAATCTGGAGTCCCGGGTCACGATCGTTAGAACGGACCCGGGGCTCTCAACGATACCCTGGTCTTTGTGCTGGGAGCACGCTGTGCGGCGTGCTCCCAGCACAAAAACAGGTATGCAAATATGTGGCCCCATGGAAAAAAGCCCAGTTCTGTGAGGCCGCTTATTTGTGTTACATGGGCTTGAAGGGGTTAAGCAAGTGCCGTGATTGTATATGAACTGTAAATGAAGAGAAGAAGTGAAATTGAAGAGTTCTAAAGACGTAGAGACTGTCAGTTTGATACACCTGTAAGAGACAGATGAGTTTAGTCATTTTTCTATGTTCGGCCTGAAAACGTTATGTGACCCAGTTATGTCTCTATGTGTCTGTGTGCAACCGGTGGGTAAGGATCACACTGTGCTGTATAGCTACTGCCTGGCAGGTTGGCCTGTAAAAGGAAAGCTCCACTTTTTTCCACAATGCCCCACCACTGTTTCCAAAGTCACATTATTTCTAACTTAACTTATTTTCAGAATAAGATTTAACCCCTTAAACCTTGCTCTAGTACATTGCATGCAGTTGCAGAGACCCCCATTTTGTTGAATAGGCCACATTCAGCGGGCACTACTGCCCATCAAGCATGAAAGCAAACAAAAATATGGAATATGTACAGCACTGGCTGCTACCATTGCCTTAAGAGGGAAAGGGGGGGAGCAGCACAAGTGTAAAAAAAGGCCTAACTGCTTAAAAACGCTAAATTTTATCAATATTTACTGCAATTTTCCTTTCCAGATGCCAAGCCATGGCAGCATACTGGTGATATAGCTTTGCCCCTATATCCACCCACAGGACCTATGTAAATCTATAAAAGTCTGTCTGAGAGCAACCATACAAGATCAAACAAGGGAGGGCCAGATGAGGTCTAATGCTTTGTACAGGGATAGAATGATATCTCTTTCTGGAGTGTATACCTGTTTGAATACAAGAGAGGATTTTGCTCGCTTTAGAAACCGCAGCTTGGCATTGCATGCCATTATTAAGCCTGTGATCTACCAGAACTCCCAGATCCTTCTCCACCATTGATTCCCCCAGTTGTACCCCCCCAGTATGTATGATGCATGCATATTCTTAGCCCCCAACTGCATAACCTTACATTTATCAACATTAAACCTCATTTGCCACATAGTTGCCCAATTAAACAGCGCATTGAGGTCGGCTTGTAAATTGGAGACATCCTGTAAGGACATTATTCCACTGCACAGCTTGGTGTCATCTGCAAAGACTGAAATTGGATTTTTAATCCCAGACCCTATATTGTTTATAAATATATTAAAAAGTAAGGGTCCCAACACTGAACCTGGGGTACACCACTGACAGCCCTAGACCATTCAGAGTATGAATCATTAACCACTACTCTCTGAATACGATCTTTTAGCCAGTTTTTCTATCCATTTACATATGGATTTTTCCAAGCCTGTAGACTTTACCTTACACATTAGCTGTGTGTGGGGAACTGTGTCAAACGCTTTTGCAAAATTCAAGTATACCACATCCACAGCCACCCCTCTGTCCAAGTATACCACGTCCACTGCCACCCCTCTGTCCAATTATACCACGTCCACCCCTCTGTCCAAGTATACCACGTCCACCCCTCTGTCCAAGTATACCACGTCCACTGCCACCCCTCTGTCCAAGTATACTACGTCCACTGCCACTCCTCTGTCCAAGTATACCACGTCCACTGCCACTCCTCTGTCCAAGTATACCACGTCCACCGCCACCCCTCTGTCCAAGGTTTTGCTCACCTCCTCATAAAAAGAAATCAGATTTGTTTGACAACTTCTGTCTTTCATGAATCCATGCTGTCTGTTGCTTAAAATATTTTTTTTCCAGCAAGAACTCATCTATGTGTTTTTTTATTAAACTCTCCAATATCTTCCCAACTATAGAAGTTAAACTAACAGGTCTATAATTACTTGCTGTGATTGGCTGATTAGCAATTTGTTTTTTCAAGCAATTGAACAGGTGTACCTAATAAAGTGGCCAGTGAGTGTAATTATTCAAATTAAAGCCCTACTTTTCTGAAAAAAAAGTGTATGCTACCTTAGGGTAGATTGTAAAACCTAAAATATTATCATTTTCAATATGTTGCCAAAAAAACAACATGGCGGTTTTCAGCAATTGACAGTCAGAATGCTCTCCCTTGTTTCTGGGCCCTTCCATGTTCCAACCAGGTGATTAAGGCATACTTATGTTATCCTTGTGTACAGGAAAGTACTGTACTGAAGTACTGAAAATATTGTTGCATGTCGAATTTTACACCTTTTTATAAAATGTACCTAACTTTGCTACCAATTGCATTCTGAAAACACGTGCTTGTCTTGTCTGCAACACAGCTCTGCTCACAGCCTGGTCTCACAGGACACACTAAAACAATGGGGAGCCATAGGCTCCTGCTGCTATCAGTCAAACTCTCATGAAGAGGGAGCAGGGGAGTAGGCTTGTCGGTGCACTGTCTGTCTATATAGATGCACACAGCCTGGCTTGGGAAGGTGCACGTACAGTTGCTTCCATAGCACCCAGCTTGCTAAGGTTTTTTTTTGTCTTTTACTATCACTTTAACTAAACCCTTGCAAAAATATACTTTGTTATTTAGAGCACTGTAGGTAAAAATTTTCCCTCTTATGTCTTTGTTTAAAAAGTACTCTTTTCTCCTTTGTTTTATCCCCCTGCAAAGTCCACATCCTGCCTACTCTTTGTATGTAGCACAGTATGTAGTAGATCATAGTTTACTATAGTAACTTTATTGCAGCATTTATATACGCTCAAAGTATAAAGAATAGAAAATTGGACTTTTTCAGGTGTCAAGTACTCTCAAGATTGGAGACATTACTAGTTATGTTAAACCAGTGTTTACTTTGGCTATGTGGATCTTGAAAATGCAGGATTTATACACCATGAAAACCCTTGCTGCTGCCCGTAATCACAAATGTGAAAAAAATCAGGTAAACATTGTTTAACTCGGTAGACTCTAGCTTATCCTCAGAGCTTGTGAATGCCTTTACTGGAGAGTAGTCAAATGCCCAGGACTATACAGGGGTGTATTTACCACAAGGCAAACAAGGCATTTGCCTAGGGTGGCATTTTTTCAGGGGGCAGCTCTTCCCCCCGAAAGAAGGGATGGAAGAAAGGACACACACAGCATGGGGACCAGGTGGGATCCGAGAGAGAGTGCAGGCCACTTGATGGTGTATGCAGAGCCTGACTCTTGTTCCCGGGGATGTGAAGGCGAGTGTCCTCTCTCTCGGCAGGGTGGGGGGTTGCCAGTGTGTATGGGGCGATGGTAGTGGAAAGCTCTCTCAGATGTGTGCTGTTGGTCAATGTCAGGGTCTTATCGTGGGGGATACTTGTTTGTAGCCTAAATACTGAACTTTGCACTTAAAAATTGTTAATATTTTAACTTTTGGACATGCTAGTAAAAACTTGGCTTGTCAGTGAATATCAATCCGGTAGGTTGGCAACACTGGTACTATTGTAGCAATACTATTTCATTTGGGTACAGTGTTACATGACCGAGCAATTGCCAGTTAAAGTAGCAGAGTGGGTGAATAGCAAAAAAATGGTCTTGAGGGCGTAAAACCTTCTGGAAGTTAAGTGGTTAACCTGGTGATCCTGGTAGTAACACACTTCCTATCCCGGGATGACTACACTTTCTCTTCCACTGAATCTATAGTGGGAGCCATGGTGGTTACCTTAGGCTACTCTCCTGATTCGGACTACAAACATCCCCTCCTCCCTTCATCTCCATTATATGGGGACCAAAAAATTAGTTGTTTACAGATGATAGTTTGTAAGGAGCAGGGGCAGACTGACAACTCATGGGGCCCCCGGGCAATAGGGGATCATGGGGCCCCTGTGTCCTTGCCCAAACTCAAAAAATCCTATGAAAAAGGTACCAGGGCATCTCATGGGGCCCCCTACTGACCTCGGGCAGTGCCCAAGTTTCCAAATAGTCAGTCCGCCCCTGGTAAGTAGGTAGCTTGGAGCTGTGCAACATAAACGGAAGTGACAAGGGCACTGCATTTCTGACAGGATCAACATGTATTCTCTGTACTGCTGTGTCCAAGACGGTGACACGTTGGGCGGAGCCTAAACATGGCGGCGTCGGAGAGCACGATGTGAGTGCTCTCCGATAAACCTCCAAAACTAACCTCCCGAGACCCTCATGGAGTGAAGCCCTACCTGCTTGAGGAGGGCTCCAAGCGGGGAGAGACTGGCGCGGGGAGAGGAGAGCGGGCACGGACCTCCGGAAGGTGATCTCGCTGCGGAGACTCCAGTGCAGCTGTCGGGTTGCCGGGGAGACGAAGCAGGGCGGTGTGAGCACTCTGCTCGCTGCAAGGCATCACTGGGAGGCAGAGACGCCGGCCGGCTCCCTGTCAGAGCGGCAGCGACATGACGGCTCCCCCTGTGCTACAGGATTGGAAAGCCGTGCGGCCAGTGGAGGAGTGAAGCAGGAGAAAGGGACCAGCTGAGGAGGACCTCGGAGGGAAAGAGGAGGCTGGTTGGTGCTCTAATTAAATAAAGTGCTGCCGGCTTATAGTTGCCTGCATCCCCCTGGCCGGCTGTTTGATCCTGGTCAGGGAGACCCATAAATATCAGGACATTTACTCTTCTTCCCCAAGACCATCCCCAAGGAGAGAGAAAGGAGGTGGAAAGAAAGAAATAAAGTATCGGATACCCCGAGGAATCCCCCCCAGGACTGAGCAGCAGTGAAGGCCCTCCACATAAGCCTGGAACCACCGTCCTGAGAAGGGAAGGGTGAGTGAAAACTGTTGGGGGCTTATTGCATGGTGAACCCCTGAGTGATACAGGTGTCCAAGGGGTCAAAGAGGGGAGGATTCCCAGGGGATAGAAGAGAAGAAGAAAGGAGGCCCAGGTGTCCCAGGAGAGTAAAGGATATAGGAAAAATTGCAAGGCTATCAAGATATATAGAAGATATGAAGAACAAAGGTCCCAAGGGAGCAGGGCCCAAAGGGGCCCAAACAGGAACAATAAAGAAATTTATATCATATGGAAATACTACGCCAGAAAGGGCCCAAGTGCAAAGGGGGAAATGGACACTAGTGCAGGAAACAGCCCTAGATTATCATGGAGCACGAACAGCAGCGGTAGCCAACAAATAGTGGAGGGCTTGGGAAAAAAAGAATTAGAAGGTGAACTACAATTACCAAATAAGAAGGAGATGGCAGAAATGTTTCAAAATCTGGAAAAAACGATAAAACATGAATGACAGCTATTCGAAATGATTTAGGTCACCTTCTATTAAGAATGGAAGAAACGGAGGAGAAAGTTAAAATCCAGGCCCAGAAAATAGATAATTTAAGGGAGAATAAGCCAATTAGAAAATAACCAGAAAAAAATGATCTTTAGGATGGAAGTTCAAGAAAATAAAGAAAGAAGGAGTAATCTTAGAATACGAGGAATCCCAGAGTCTGCTAAAGGGGAAATACTATATGAACTAGTTAAAAAAACCCTAAACTCCATAAGAGATAAACCGGAATCTGATGGGATCGATTTGGACGGAGTGATTAGGGTAGGAAAGTTCAAACGGGCTAATGAGAAGGAAAGACCGAGGGACATAATTGTCCAGTTCCAAAATTTTGGGGCCAAAGACGAGATCTGGAAGAAGATCAAGGGAAGATCATTAATAAGTGTGGAGACTTGACTATCCAAATCTATGCGGACTTAACAGTAGAGACCCTAAGGAGAAGGAGATCTCTGAAACCCCTGTTGGAGCAAATGAGAAAACAGAATGTGCAGTATAGATGGGGTACCTCTGCATTTCTGATTGGCTGAAAAATGGGGTCACAGCGTATCTGAGATTTCCGGATGAATTAAGAGATTTCTGTGATAGACTGGACTTGCAAAGAATGGAGATACCTGGGTGGGAAGAAGAAAAAGAAGATATAGGAAACATAAATGTTATAAGAAAAGAGGACTGGCAACAGGTCGGGCTGAGGGAGGCACCGGGGGTGGAGGGGAGGAGAGTAGGGAGAATTAAGTAGAAAAATGAATTTTTTTTTTTTTTTTTTTTTTTTTCTTTCCTCTTACTTTCTCTCTCTCGCCTCTGGCCTTCCCCCTCTGGATGCTGAGACCTGCATGGAGGCTCCCGATATTAGTCAGGGAGGTAAAGGAGTAAAAGACTCTTGTTGAATCTAGATGACAGAGAGAGGGAATCGGGCGGGCTGGAGGAGAGGTGAACCGTACACAGGTGGAGCTGACGCCCCAAATATTTAAATCAATGGTGGAAATGGGATCCACAAATGATATTGTAGCAGTTATAGGCCTAAAAACGGTAGGGGAAAAAGAAGAGAGAATGAGAGGGTGGTGGAGGGGGGGGGGGGAGGAGGGAAGGTTCAGGGGGGGGGATTAAATGAGAGTTGGGGTGGGAGGAAGGGAGGGGAGGGTCAATACTCTCCTGCAGGACAGAAGGGATAAAGAGAAGAGGCAATCTGGAAGAGAGATGGACTTAATTGGGAAAGATGGAAGAATTACATGTTTATAAACCTATAATGGTGAACGGCTGAGTTGTTCCAGGGAAGAAGATTCAGGTTGTTTAATGAGTTACATCACAGGGCTACGTCAGTGGTATTTTTACAGGATACGCATTTTGAGATAGAGGCAAACGTGAAATTGACAAATCCAAATACTATCCAACATGGTACTATGCAGATTTCTGTCGTCCAATTAAAAGAGCAAAAGGGTTTGCAATAGGTTTTTGG